TATCCAATAATTGAAACGCATTGAAACTTATTTTATAATTTCTAATTTATTTCTCGTAACTGTGACTATTTCTTTTTTTTATCTTTTTTTTTTTATTGTGACTTGATATCTCACAATTGTGAATTTATATTTCAGTTTGTATGCCTCGTAATTGTGACTTTATTTGGCAGCTTTATTTTTTGTTTCTAATTGTGAATTTCTATCTCATAATTATGAATTCATATCTTACAATTGCGATTTTATTTCACTTAACTGCAACTTTATTTTTTGCATCTTGTAGTTGTGAATTTACATCTAATAATTCTGATCTTATAATTTTCTTGTTACTCTAGTTTTTTTTTTGAGTAATTAACATTGTGTTACAATGTGACTTTATTTCCTATTTTAACCTTTATCTCACAATTTCCTGTTTTTTTCTGTAGTTATACCTTATAAGTTTACAGAAAAAATAAAATAAATAAATAATAATAATAATAACCCCAGTTGTTTGTTTGCATTTTAAATATTAATGCAGAACAACAGATTCACACAAAGTTATATAGTCACTATTATTATTTAGTGTTTTCTCATAAAAAGAAAGACAACACTTATCTTGTAGCACTGGTTCTGTTTATTTATTTTGAAAGTTATTTTATGTTTTTACAGTGGCGGGGCCCATTTTCATAATCTCGCCTGAGGCCCTGCCTGCACCCAGTAAAATCAAAAATATAATAAATCAAAAAGTATAATTTCACTGTGATTGCATGGCTTGGACTGAGACTTATGGGATTGTTTTAAGATAATACAAAAACATGAGCAAGATCCCAAGGGCCTCATGGAGCCTTCACTTCAAATGTAAACTTGGACGTTGTGCGCTTGTCTTTCTCTTCCACTCCAAAACTAGTAGGATATAGATTTTCTTACCTCACTGGTCATTAACACACCTGACAGATTTTAATATATATTTTAAATAAAAAAGGGAAATTCTACACAGCCTGTCCCAAAAACAACAGGCTCATTTGGACTCCACACACGAGGGACTTTGACTTGTGGTTTGGACTGAAAGCGGACAGGAAAGATGTCATTTTTTCCCCTTTCTTTTTGCATCGGACAAAAGCTTTACAAAAGTACGATTGCATTACAAGTTTGGGATTTCCGTCTCTTTTTGAAATCCATAATTTGCTGTAATTTGTGCTTTTATCTGCCTGCTAAAACATGCACAATGGCACTGGATATAATGGCCTCATTGATAGCATTTGAGATTAGGACTGGCCCATTACATTCATGAATGCTTTAATGATTTGGCAAGCGCCGCCGAGTCTTGACTTCTGTCAGGGGATTTTAACCCCAATCAAGAATCGGACAGATACTCAGCGACACATTGTGAAACTGAATACTTGGTTCCTTTGCTTTATTTATCAGAGAGCCTTCCTGTTAAATATATATAGGTGTATATATCGATCTGTAGGGGGCGCTGCAGTATTTCTAATCGTCTACTTTAAGTCACATTACCTGCACAAATGCAGACTCACTGTCATGAGCAGATTATTGCATGTAAGAAGAAAAAAAAAACTTTTTGTTTGTCTATTAGGTCTGTATGTTTATAGTTTTTTGGTGAATATTTGAGATTTTGGGCTCTTTGGTTTTTCATAAATTTTTAACTTTCAACTTTTTTTTCAGACTAGTTAAAGGAAAACATGCAAAATAGACTTTTAAGTGTTTATTTTAGCACTTTATCTATTTGTGTCTGTAGAATTCAATTACAATATATATATATATATATATATATATATATATATACATTGGCCTGTAAATAACTAGATTTACCTGTAAGTAACAGTAATATCTGACTGTGACATCATAAACCTTTAAGTGCAATGTCTTAAAGGTGTATGGTATTTATTACATCATAACATTACTGAATATAAATCTTGTGCAATATTTTTAATGGTATTCGAGCATAAAGACAATTATTACGTTATAAACATAACGATAAAATAGTCATGTCAGTTAATTCAGTTTTTTGACGTCTGAAGGTGGAATGTGACCATCTCATTGTATAACTTGATTCAAATGTCAAGTAAGCTAGGACACTAATAAACATGCCGTGGATATTATGCCTCGTGTAAATATATACACTTAAAACAAATATTTCAAATGTACAAGCAATTACATTACTTTAATAACTTACCTGTATTTATAAAATCCTCGACACCAAAAGTCTTGTATTTCGTAAACATTAGTACAGTAACTGTAGTAGCGGTCATTACAACAAGAACTTCCGTGTTGTTACACAGGTGCATGATGGTAAATGTAGTTTAGTGAAGGTCCTCGCTTTTTGGCTCGTTTACACATCTTCAGCAGTGTTCTTTGATGAAACTAATAAACTCTCCGGTACTGCACTCACAGACATAAAATATATCTTAAGAGAGTATTTTATTTTATGTCAGTAATGACATAATTATGGTGTATTTTCCATGCTTCTTTTTAACATTGTCAAAAAAAATCATAGAGTTTGTTTAGAATATGCTGCACACATCTTGATTGTAGAACTGCAAGATATCTGTCAAAAAAATAAAAAATAAATTAATTCATAATTAAAAACAATAGCCCCAACTAAAATATGCATGAATAATCATTCAAATAAGAAACATTTTACATATCAATGTGCTATTTTAAATCAAGCTCTTTTAAAATCCAGTGATTGTATATTAATGCAAACAAATAACTGGTATAGATATAATAATGTTTCCTTTTATTCTCACTTGAGTGTGTGCAGTTAAAGATGCTCTCAGCCTGTGAATAGAACTCTTCTCCCAATATGGTGCGGTAGTCCATGTGACTGGTGTGAACGAGGCACCTTGTAGCATCTTTAAAGAGCAGGTCACTCTCTCCATACTGCTGAGACTCAAACAGGTGGAACCCAGAATCTGGACGAGCTGCTATGGTTTCCTATAGTGCAAAACACATCAGTATTCTGATGCTAAAAGACTCTCAAATTAATCAAATGATTATTAATTCAGCGTGCAGACCTGTGACTTCAAGAGGTCATAAATGCGAGCTGTAAGAACAGGATGTGTCATAACAATATTTGAAGGGATTGCTCCTAAGTTACAGGTCTTCCACTCTGTCAGAGGAGCCCGGCTGCCATCCCCACAAAGCAACTCAAAGTATACCAAGCGAGCCAACCCTCTGCCCAGCCACTGGTGTTTAGACCTGTCCAACAAACACATCACGCATATTACAAATGTGATTCATTTCAATGACATCTCTCAAGAGTTTACATCTTACGTTCGATGTTGCTCTCTAGACTGTGGTGTTCCATGAACGCCACGTCTCCGAAGCTCTTCCCACTGGGGTCTCCAACCAAGCACCTGAAGTAAAAGACATTTTAAAGCCTGCACAGCTGCTTGGTTTGCACTATGGTACATTAACAATGAGAGATATTTTTTTGTATACCATTTTATTTGAACTGTGCGCAAATAGCAATTCCTCACCTTAATGCACCCATATTGCCATAGTAACGCTCATTATGGTTGTCAGCTTCCTCAGTCCCACCCATACACACCTTACAGAGATTGCCTTGACCTCCTGGCAAACAACCTTTCCAAAACACCTCACCGTACACTGAAAACAGAATGGGCTACATTGAAGGAATAGTTTATCCCAAAATGAAAATATGCTGAAAATGTACTCACCCTAAAGCCACCCAAGACGTAGATGAGTTTGTTTCTTCGTCAGAACAGATTTGGAGAAATTTAGCATTACTTAAATTTGTTCACCAATCGATCCTCTGCAGTGAATGGGTGCCGTCAGAATGAGAGTCCAAACAGCTAATAAAAATACTACAATAATTCACAAGTAATCCACACAACTCCAGTCCATCAATAAATGTCTTAAAGATGTGTGTTTGTAAGAAGAAAATCCATCATTAAAGCATTTTAACTGTCCTTTAGCTGTTTTTTCATCAGCTGCTTTTACCAGCTCATTCTGATGGCACCCATTCACTGCAGAGGATCTATTGGTGAGCAAGTGATGTAATGCTAATTTTCTACAAATGTGTTCTGATGAATAAACAAACTCATCTACATCTTGGATGACCTGAGGGTTTTTTTTCCTTTAAAGCAGGGGTTCCAATACCTTCTTTCTTAAAGTGCCGTGTGAGATTAAGTTAGTATTTAATTAATTTAACGTCACACTTGCTTGTTCACGGCTCTTTAATGCTGGTTAACGGTCACATGACATGCAAGTAAACAGAAACCATTAAAAGATGCATTAAAAGATAAATAAAATATTATATTCAAACTATTTGATCAAGATACCAAGTAATAAAAAGGAACATGTAGTACCATTATTTGGCTGACATGGGGCACTGCTGGTGTGCTCTGTGCTGAGTGTGTGTCTCACAGGTAAAACCCAGCCAGCAGGGCTGTACATGTGACTGTGGCAGGAGCGTCTGCCGCCCAGACTTCCAAAATATAAACTCCTACTTGTCCGACGTACAACTGCCACACCATACACTGATGGTAATTCTGCAGAGATAAATATATTTTGTAAAGATGCAATAATAGAGATTGCATTCATGCTAAGCTCATTTTAGCCCTGTATTACCATCACTTTCAAAATGGCCTCCAACTCCTTCAGGATTCTCACATTTCTCTCCTAAATTTGAACAAATGAACCAGCAAAGAGAATAACAAATCGATGTGAGAAGAACACGAGTGAGTATGACATGGTACATTAGGATGTTAGATCTTTTACATACCATAATATTCAGTCACAACAGGGACAAGGCCACATTTCCCAGCTATGAATGCGTGAGTGGCATCCAGAGACACAGCATCCACCTCATCCCTCTGTGAAAATGAACAATTCTGTTCTATGCACTGATACAAAGAACAATCAGCAGTGTCAGTATTAATTAAAACTAAAAATAGTTTTCATTATTTGAAAAAGATTAAATGAAATACAATATAAATATTGGATGAAAAACTTAATAATGAAAATGAGAAACGTTACCTTAGCACCTAACCTAAATAAAATACAATTAAGTACTAAAAAATACATTAAAGTAAAACAGAATATATATAGAGCATGAGTTCCATCTGCACACAACAGTCTGAACTCTATATATATATATATATATGTAAAGGCCGTATATATTTTTTTCTCAATTTAAGTTGGACTTTCATAAACCAAACTTAAGAGTTTTATTCCAATCTGTATTCTGAAAGTTTTTATTGAGGGATTTGTTTATATATAATTCAGCTGATTTTATTCTTGCACTTCATCTATTTGCGTCTATAGATTTAATTTACAATACATATCTTTAAAAGTCTTTAAAAAAAAAGGCAAGTTGCAAGTTTTTGCACACATACATTTTAAGTAAAATTTAAGTATTGAATTAAGTAAAATCTACTTAACTAAGTTGAAAATTTTAACCTTTTTAATTATTCATAACTTTGATATTTACTTAAAGAATCATTGTAAACATAAACAATTCCTTGTAAACGTAAACAATTCCAAGTAAAATATGCTTATAATTTCAAACTTTAATTTCTACGAGCTTAAATTGAGTAGTAATATAGAATTTACTTAATTTTTTAAATTCTTACCTGAACTAAATTATTTAATGCAGAAATTACATTTGTTTTCATGTAGTATTTACTTTACCACAAAATCATTTTTATCAGTGTAGTAATTACATAAACTAAACTTAACAGTTTTATTCCAGACTATATTCTGAATGTTTTTACAGATGGATTTGTTCATATATCATTCGATTGATTTTATTATTGCATTTTATCTATTCACATCTGTAGATTTTTTTTATCTCAACTTCAGTAGTACTTACATTCACCAACATGTCATTGGATTGAAATATATAGTGCTATGTGAAAATATATGACAAATATGTTTTTTTATATATTTTAAAATGTATTATAAAATATTTATTTTTAAATATATACAAATAATATATTGGTAGAAAATATATTTACGCAAATATATTGAAGCATATTTTGGCAAATATTTTTTTTTTTGGCAATTGTTTTTTTTATATTTTGAAATATATTTAAACATATTGCTGTATGGGTTAGTTCATGTTATCACAGGTCCAATAGATAGTATACAGATACAACTGTTATATAGTGTTATATAGTATTACAACTGTAATACCCCGCCCCACCCCAGTTTTTTACTGACCTATACATTTGCCAGACAGGCGTTTTGTTCTTTGATGTTTTCATTGCCTTTTTTTTTTTTTTACTTACATTAATAAACATAAGTTAGTAAAACTAAATGAGCCTGTACGAGCCTAAAACTAAATGAGGAATCAAGTTGGATCAAACACATGACTACCAGTTACATTACTGAACTGATACAGTGACTTGTTAAATGTGACTTGTTAAATCATAAAATCATTGTTATTTACTGAGTTAGTGTTTCTTGTCAATTTAGTTTAACATTATTAATTTTTTTATAAAAATTATTTAAACTCATTTAATGTATGCATGTATGTATATATGCATTCATTCAGCCAAACAACTCATATTCCACTTGTTCTCACTAGTCTACTGTATCTTCTACAACAAAAACTACAAGATGGGGAATTGTGCAGTGCAAATTGCGTTAAACCTCGTGTTCACACTGCTATCTCAGAGTTACATAATTCCTTTAGTGAACTGAGCTCTAAAACAACACACAGCGTGTGCAAATAAACAATTTATCCTCCTAAAATGTCAGTTCCTCATGAAAAGACCGTCAGGTATTTTCCCTCTTCTCTCAAATGGCCCCCAGGTGCCCAGGCTTTCCGCCCTCTTGCCTGGAGTCCCAGCCCCCTCACCCCGCCGTGCCAAGATCCCGTCATCAATTCATCCGAACCTCTCCACACGTAGCCTGCGGTTCCATGCCAGTAAAGGTCCTATTAACCTCTTGGCAAGCTTATATTGCTCTTAAATAATTAAGCCCCCCTCGCCACATGGAAAAACCTGCTCCATTATTAACGAGATGGGGGCTCCTTTTTAGGTGAAAGCACCCGATTAATTATTCAGAATGAAAATCATAGTAAAGACACCTGTTATGCTGCTTGTGCTCGACTACACCTACACACGGGCCGAGAGAAGCTTTCAGAAGGGTGCCAAGCACTGAGTTAAATGTTAATACCAACAAACTGCACCGACATTAACTTCTGTCTTTGTTTTTTGGAATCATAGGAAAGATATTTTCAAATGTTTCTAATTGAAAACAGTGATATTAAATGGACAACTTCTTTTTTTCTGAGAAGACACTGGAAATCTCATGTTTCAGAAATATCTCACACAATTCTCAGATTCGCCAAGATGCCAAATCTGCAATCAGAATTTTGATATGAACTCTCTAATTTCTCATCATATTCTTCCGAGTGCATATTATATGAGCTATGCCATCCACATTAATTTAGATAAAGCTGATGAAACATAAATACAAGGTTCTGTCATGAAACTCTAGAGGGCACAGGCCAATCTGACATAATCACATCATTATCACATGGCGCAGCTGATTGGTTCTTTTTACATCAGTGGCCAATGAGCTTGCTGCTCAACATTCTGATTGGCTACAAGTTTGTTTTGCGATTCGGCCCGAATCAGTTTTCTAAAGCGTTTTTGAAAAATCACATACCCTGCCTTTAAATGTGACAGTAGTGCAATTTGAGTACACAGCGAATTTACGTTTAAGATTTTTATTGCAACTATACTGTGAACTACATTATAAATCAACTTGCAGGTTAGTGTACTAGCAATATAATTCTAGCCCATTTTTTAGTACATGATAGTGCACTTTGAAGTATACTACTATTTTGAATAGCTTTCATGCTGCAAGTATACTTGTAAGTTATTGTCTCCCAAAAGAAAAAATCAACTACATTCAAATACTTGGCTAGTGTTTGCTGTAGCAGTTGCAGCACGCTTCAGAAACCCTCCACCTCCCCAGCTCCACCTGTATCGATCGGCCACGGGGAAATGTTGTGTATGTTATACATGGGGTTATTTCATATATGTTATATGTGCAGCAGCAGTATTTCTTA